AAGGTTCCAGATGGCCACACAGTGCACCAGGGAACCTCAAAAAGCCGAAGGAGGATCGGAAAACTTTGCCAGGGAAGTCGCAAAGAAGATTCCAGAAAGTTGCGGAGAAGGTTCCAGATGAGTCGGAAGGATCCTGAAAGTTGCCAAGAAGATGGCGCGAAGTTGCAACGAAGTGTCAATGAAGATTCAAGACGTGAATAAGATTCCCGATGGCCACACAGTGAACCGGGAACCTCAGAAATCGAGCGGGTTCATGGCCAATCACACACAACTCTATAGGATGTTCATCACCAAGCCCATGATGACAATGGCCACTCCTCTCCAGAGTAGTATTTGAAAATTCGTATGCGATTGTTTTTCAAACGTCTTTCACATCACCAGGACTAAACCAATTCCATCTGGGTCCATCGTAAGGAAATTGGCCACAGCACGTTTGTCCTCGTTCGATGCAGTGTACCCGCCCGTTCACTCTTTACCACATAATGATCAGGGCACCCACCTTGTTGGAAACAGGAGCATGGAGGGGATCTCCTCCCCATCTCTCGTCATGTTTGTGTCTGCTTGTCTGTTTGTTCATGTGTGCTTTGCACTGCCAAGCTGTTCATCCCTGGATGCTGCTCTGAAATTTGAAATTTGTCCCTGAACGACCGCAGCGGAGGATCGATGCCACACACGCCATGCTGAATGCCTGCCGACAAGGGGAACAACCCGTCGGAGAACCGAATGGTAACTCGCCAGCAATGGTTCTGCACGTGTACAATAAGCACAGCCACATTCCACACAGGCATGTCCAGATTCAATCCTTAAACAAGAGGGCGTGCTGCGACAGTTGAGGCAGAAACGTGTTCGCACAATCTACTCGAATGCCAGGTGTGAAAATTGGAGCACCTTGTCCCAGCCATTAGCACTGAATGGTAACCTTGTCAATACGAGTTCTGCACGTGTACAACAAACACAGGAACAATCGACACAAGAATGACCAGATTCAATCCTTCAACAAAGAGGCCATGTTGTGACCGTTGAGCCGACAGAAGTGTGTGCGTGTGGAAATTAGCCCCATTCTTGGTTCTTGTTTCCCCTTTGTTGAAAGGGTGACGACCTTGAGGGCGCCGTACTCACACTAGCATTCTCTTAAATGTATGTATCTGACTGCATTTACGGTCGCACATGGATGCATCTGGCCGCAATTCCGACCTGAAATAAGTAAAAACGTCCTACTACTGTGAGCATGCCCTGAGATATTGATTGAACTGACCAGCCCCATGTCATTCAGAATTATTTTATTATTATAGTCATCTGATTGCATCTGGATTCGAACCTGGGTCTGTATTTCAAGGTGTTCCAACAGTTCAGGGTTGTACCAACAGAGCTAGGTCCGTTTGTAAATTAATAATAATTATTAGGCCCCCAATGCCCCCAATGCCCCCATTTATCAGTGCCAGCATCGAAAGTTAGCCCCCCTCCTATTGAGTAGGAAAGCTGTGAAAAAACTAGCCCCGTTCTACGAGTACCATGGCGTAAGGGCGGGGGGGCACACTCACACCTGAACTTCCCTTGATGCATCCGAATCTGATCATGTTCAAATTCAGTCGAAAAAAGAAATCCTCTTTCTGAGTCTGTCCTTAAGCAGCACTCATAGCGCTAACCTTTTTGCCTGCCACCTCTTCGAGAGCTGAAGTAACATCGCTCCCAGCGGGAGGGGATAGATAGAGACAGCAATCCCTCTCCCATCCCACTGTGCCAGCAAGCTGCACTCGCAAGAGTGACACAGCAACCCCTCTCCCAGCCCACTGTGCTGGCGAGCCGCGCCGCAAGAGCTGACTTCCATTGCGATGACTATCTTACAGCGCACGTTGCCATCACAAGTAGGAGAAACCAACCTTTTCCCCTGCAATTGGTCTCAAAACCTGAGTAACATGGCTCAAGGGGGCAGACGATAGACTCCAACCGTCTCCCAGCCCCCTCTGCTAGCAAAAGCCGCGCTTCCAAGACTCAGCGACATTCAATGTGAAGACTGTCTTTTTTTCTTTTTTCTTTTCTCTCGAAGACAGTCTTTCAGCTCATGCTCGCATTACAAGTACAACAACTACAAAAAAAAAAAAAAAAAAAAAAAAAAAAAAAAAAAAAAAAAAAAAAAAAAAAACTACAGCAACTTCCTTCTTCTGAAGACGTGAACATGTTTAGAGTCTTTAGACCAGTTCCTTATCACTGGTTATTTTCCAGGATTGGAACCCCTTCAATGCAGCCTCATAGGTCTTCGCTCCCCTCATGGAAGCAACTGCAGCGCCTCCTTGTTCCGGCTTTAGTAGTTGTTTTCCACCATCGTCTACATGACTTCATGTATCCGGGTCTCACCCTACCGCCTTCACCCAAATAGAACACACCAACCTTACCGTTCTATCCGGGTGAAGCTGGTATTGGATAAATCCTTTTTTCCGTACTGAGCAGGGTTGCATGCCTGCCGACCGCCGACCCCGACTGCCAACCGTTTTGCAGCCGACCAGTAGGGCCTACCGGTTGGCGGTCTGCCGACCTGTCAGAAAACAGCCATCCACTGATTTCTTTTTTTAATAAACTTTTGGGGATGCGGGGAGGTAGGGGGGTGAAACGGATTTCACCTTTCTGCAGTCACAGATGCGGGCCCTAGAGTTTGATCCCCAGACCTTACCTTGCCCATGTACAGTATCGAGTTGACCCCCGAGTGTTCGAACCCGTGACCAGTGTTTTGGTAGTTGTTTGTTGTCCGTCGTAGGTCTGTGTAGTTGTAGGGGTTCGATCTGTAGGTCTGTCGAATAGGGGTCACAGCTCTGTAGAGGTCGTGGCTGTAGATATTCTGAAAGGTCAAGGTCGTAGCTGCTACAATCCTGAAAGGTCGAGGTCGTAGCTGCTACAGCACTCGAAAGGCCAAGTCCACAGACTTCTGGAAGGTCCGGAAGTGGCCTTTCGAAAGTGTCTCACGTTTAGCCAGAGGCAAGTGGGCAAGTGGTAAGCCAACTGCACTGAGTCGGCAGTGCGACTGCATCGAGTCGGCAGTGCAACCCCGTGCAGTCAGCGGTACCGGTCCCAGTCAGTCGCAGTCCAGTCAAGCAAGTACCATGACGGACTGTGTGCACCATGGGCCGGTGGAAAGGGAGCAGACCAACGAGTTACAGAAGTAAGAGGTAGCGCCCAGCCATTCATTCATTCGCTGCGTAAGCCATGTAGAAGCGCTGCTACAGCGTCTTGTGCAAGGTGGTCCGCAGGTCGCCCGAAGTCGAAGTGGGCTGAAGGGAGACATCATAGCCATAGAAGTAGTGGCGAGCGGCCATAGCCGCCGTAGGTTAGAGGTAGCCGATAGTGTGTGTGTGTGTCTGGGATACTGAGTGAGTGTGAGTGGAGTATTCAGGGTGATCCAGAGTGAGCGTGTGTGAACAGTGAGGTTGGACACAGTGACAAAGGTTGGGATGTACACGCGCTGATGCGCCATAGTCTGTTTGAAGTGAATTTGCATCTGAACTGTGTTCTCGACTTCCATATCTCTAAGCTTTGAGTAGGCGCCCTGCGCCAGTGTGAATCGCCAACTGTTTGCATGTATGCGAAGTGGAAGTGAAAGTGAGTCTGATTGCATTGGTATCGGAGATGGTTCCCGTTACACCACGCCCCATCGTCGTCGCCGGCGGGAAGGAGATGCGCAAGTCAGCCAGGCGCCATGGCCACGTTGCACAATCGGAGATAATCTGCCATAGCTCTGTTGCTGAGTGAAGTGCCGCGTACCTGCATAGAAGACAACGACGAAGA